GGATCATATGCACGCATACCGGGGATGGACCCTGCAACCTAGGCATGTGCCCTGACCAGGAACCAAACTCTCAACCTTTCAGTTATGGGATGATGCTGCAACCAACTGAGCTACACTGGCCAGGGCAATCACCAGACATTTCTTACAGGCAAGTAACTTGTCTAGATTTTGTTTTCTGGACACCTGGGCTCCTTGAGAAGATTATGAGTAGGGAAAAGAAGCAAGAGGGGGAAAGGCTAACTCTGCAGGGATGGAGCAGGGCAGACAGAGAGAGCACTAGTTGCCCATGTGGGGAGAGACTTGAGTCAGCGGGTGCCATAAGCTAAATCTCATTAGGAAGTACCAACTCAGTGAACCCAAGAAGCTAAAAGCTGGACTCGTCTCCCAGTATTGGCCATGTCCCCAGGGCCAAGCTCATGGTAGAAGCAGTGAGCTATTTACCTTCAAGGGAGCTTGGAAATGAGACCACTGGGGCGACTGAGAGACTGAATATGGGTCTCTACCCCCATTGTCCAGGCACAAGGAAGCACCTCCAATCCCTGTGAAAACCTGGGAAGAAGGATGCTTCATTCCCACTCTCCAGGATGGATGGGGTCAAACTTCCCTCCAACTCAACCATGTGGGAATTCAGAATTCAATTTATTTTTATTTAAGGGAAATAAAGGAAAACGATTTCTTATGCACAGGTACACAGGATTCTATAGGCTAAGATGAATATCCTCCATAGAGGTTTCAGAGCCTCCTAGTCATTTACTTATGGAGCAAAACTGTACAGGGTGAATAGGAGCGATGGTCAACTGGGGCTGTGGTTTTGTAACTCCATTCCTTCTATGGGAAGCCTCTGGGCTGGCTCTTGCCAACACATACTTAAAGAGGACATAGGCCATGTCATTAAAGATGTCAATCTGGAGGAAAAAGCAGGTATGCCTACAAATGATACCTGAGATTCTTGTGGCTGAGAGATACAATTCAATAGTCGGGTTTGTCATTATTCACCCCAAGAAGTCCCTTCCTGTTGGTCAGTGGTCAATAACAAGGCATTGCCACCCAGAGGCAGGTGTCTAAATTGTAAACCAAAGAGTCTCAAGGATATAAACAGACTAGAAGGTATTTCTGTATAACCCACTCCAATTCAGTGCTAGTTACAGCATCTTATACTGGGAACCTTGCTCTCTAAAGGCCCCTATCACCAATAAGTATTGTGAAATTATAGGGAAATTCCAGGATCCCAAAACAAACAGTGAACCTGACTGGCAATCAAGGATTAGGGCCTAAATGTCTTAGTTAGGTTGCAAAATAAAAAATAAAAATATTTAACATGGAAAAGTTATGTACTTTAAAAACTATCTAAGATTCCTTAGCCCAATAGAGTAAACCAGGAAAATATGTTTTTTGTTCTCTTTGCATCATCCAGATAGTCCCACTGAATTTGGGTGAATTGTGGAGATTATTTACAAAGATGTGGGCAATGTGTAGAGAAAACCACAAATGGTCAGTATCCCAGGGCCTGAAAGACCAGGTCCTTTGGCCATACCCAACCTTGCTGGAGCAAGGCTGCTATGATCTGGAAGGAGAGCTCTATGTGAAACCTGGTAAAAGCTGTGACCTTTTGTGAGGAATTCAGCTAGGCCAAGACAACCTCACAGGGAGACAGCCAAAGCAATAAACACCATGGCCTTGCTCTTTCCTCCCTCTGGTCTTCTCATTGAGGCTAAGGCTCCTCATTGGCTGGATCCAACTAGATGCAAATGATAAGGGATAAGGACAGTGGTTAATGTCTCTCTCTAGAGGGCAGCCTGCTGGATCAAATATAAGGGTAGAAAGGGTGAAAAGTGAATTGGATGGGGGGGAGGCAGAAATGGAAAGTGTTTGACAAACTCTTCCTCTTGAAACCCCAAAAATCCGATGGCAGAAATATAGAAAAGATTCACTCCTAGACTATGAAGAGAATAAGAGAGGAATCACTGGTGAACCAGAGATTGTCAACAGGTTTGGTTGAAGAAAATGAACAGGTGTGAGTTAGCTGGGGATGTGGGGCAGAGAAAGCTGTAATGTGAACTTGTGGAAGGCCTGGAGCTATGCCTGGGAAACTGGCCATGAGAGGTTCTAGACTCAGAACTGTCAAGCCTGACAACCACCCAGTGAGCAGTGGGTTGAGCACAGAGGAATTAATTAAAGGGTCTGTGTTCAAAATAGTCTGCCATCTGCCTTTGAGCTCAGAATATAAAAAAGCCAGCAGCTAGGTATTCATGCTTCCTTGGGCATATGGGCATAATGTCAGTCTTTGAGGTAAGAAGCTCACTCAAAGCTTCAGCAAGGCTAAATGTAAAAAAACCCAATCTGAATACATCATTGTAAAATTTCAAAGTACCAAATGGAGGAAAAGATTTGAAAAGACCCCTGGAAGGAAAAAAATAAGTTAGCTTAAAAAAAATCAGACTCATGTTAGATTTCTCATTGGCCATGTCAGGTATTTGGGGACAGCAGATCTTCAGATTGCTGAGAGAAATTCATGTCTGGAAATCTGTACTCAACCAAATCATTGATCAAGTTGGAGGACAGAATAAAAGCAGTTTTCAACCTGCAAACACTCAGGAAGTTTCCTTCCGTGTGCCTTTTCTAAAGAAGTCACTTGAGGAGTTAATCCTGTATTATAAGTATCCAGCTGATACAGAAGACATGGAACTGGGAGAGCAGGGAGGAGCCAGAATGCCAGCTGTATAGCAGGAAGCCCAGTCTGGAGCAGCAAGACAGCAGACTTTGGAAGGGAGGTCTCCGGGAGAAGATGTGGAAGGATGCCACAGGAGAATATGACAGGCTTTATCTTAACGGAGAATATGAAAAATGCACAGAATGCAAGGACCCCCAAAACTATAACTAGAAACTCTACGAAAAGCTAATTGCTGCACCATAAAGTCATAAGAAAATATTGTGAAATTGGGGCAGAGTTGAGCAGAAGTTAATGGACTTGGAAAAAAAGAATGGATTGAATTCTAAGTAATGGAGAATATAACCTGGAAAGTATTAGTAATATAATGAATATGTTTCTTCTTTCATTGAGAATAAAGAAAGGTGACCAGAAAAGAGGGTGGGGGAAAAACAAACAAAAAGGGTATGATCTACATACAGTGTAGAAGAAAACATGATGTGACTGTGAGCAATCAGTCAAGAACAAATTTTTTTGAACATTCTTCAGTGAGAAACACAAGAATGGGGTCACTGGAGTCATGGGTAAGGAATGGAATAATACTCTCATCTCAGCTCTAAAGCAAACAGTGTTTACTCTGTATAATGTACATGTACTTACTGGCTAGAACTTTCTTTCCTCAGATATCCACATGGTTTATTCCTTTAACTCCTTCAGGAATTTACTCAAATATCACCTTTGTAGAGAGAAATTTCCTGACCATTCTATCTAAATCACACACACACTCTTATACCCCTCCTGGCTTAATTTTCCTCCTAAGCACAACTAGAACACTAAATGAATTATTTTCTTATCTTATTTATCTTCTGTCTCCCTCACACTGGAAATGGTGTACCATGAGGGCAGGGATTTTTCTTTACTACTGCATTTCCTGCTGTTTCCCCAGCACCAAGGACAGGGACTAGCTTTGGTATGTCTGTAATAAATATTTGCTGCATTAAGTGTTGACACCAGTCATAGGCAAGTCACAGGGCCATAATTGTGTTTATGTGACAGAAATTAAATGTCATTATGCTTGGGAATGCAAAAATAAAGGTGTATCTCACAGAAGTTGTAGTGGAAATGCAAAAAAAATAAAAGAGGGAAAAGTTAAGAGTACTAATATCCTCATTTGACCACATGGATAATCAAGATACTGTTTATAGTTGATGAGCAAGAAATATAGATTTAAGAAGGTTATTTAAAGTTACATAGTTAGCCCTGGCTGGTGTGGCTCAGTGGACTGAATGCCAGCCTTCAAATCAAAGGGTCACCAGTTTGATTCCCAGTCAGGGCACATGCCTGGGTTGCAGGCCAGGTCCCCAGTAGGGGGCATATGAGAAGCAACCACACATTGATGTTTTCTTCCTCTCTTTCTCTCTCCCTTCCCCTCTCCATAAAATAAACAAATAAAACCTTTAAAAAATAAAATTACATAGTTAACAATTAAAATAACTAAAAACAGTGATGTAACTATATTGGTATGAGTGAGCCAGAGGAAGTGAAAGACAGACAAATTAAGTTAAATTTCATCTAACAGCAATTCATGAGATAATTCTAAAGTTAAGACATTCAAAAATGTAAGCAGAAGCATAATATTTAGAGTATGGAGATAACCTCAGAAGGCCTTATATTTGAAATGGTGAGATGTGATTGGTGGGAAATTGTGGTTTCAATGATAAGAGACTACATTGTAGCAGATCATTACTTCTGTAGATAATAATTATAAACCCTGGATAAAATATTTTAAAAAATATTTAAAGCACTAGAAGCAGGCATAAAGCTGAAGGGACTCAACCCTTGAAAGAAGGAAACTGCACTATGTGAGAGCTATGTTTTTACTAATTTTCCCCAAAGGCACTCCCTAACTGCCTGGGCTGGAGCAGCTAGAGCTAAAACAGAAATCCTGAATTGGCTTAATGTGTTAGAGTTTTAAGTAGCCAGAGAAGCTGAAAACTTATGTGTGGCGGGGGCAAGGATGCAGAAAACCAGTTAAAAAAAAAAGAGGAGCCACAATATTGGGAGTCACCAAATTTGCATGTAAACTCCCCTCAAATCTTTAGTTGACCCTGAACTGTGAATGTGCAGGGAAGCTCCAAGGACCCTGCTTAAAAGCAACAGCTGGAAGACTAGAAAATTTGAGCAGAGATCTCAGCTGTCACCTGCTGCCAGGGAGAGACAGTTTGGATTTGGAATCCTCCCAAGTCAGAGGAACTTGGTAAACACTCAGGCTATACTTTAGAAGGCTGTGTTCCACTTTCAAGGGGTGACATTCAGCTGACTGGCAGAACCACAGAATTCCCATCCTGCAACCATGGCCCAATTTGTCCATAACCTCACAGAGAAGGCCCCAGTGCTGGTAAATGCTGCTGTGACTCACTCAAAAGTTCAGCTGACCACATTTTGGCACTATGCCAAAGTTGAGCTGATTCTTCCAACCCTTGATGAGATCCCAATAGCTATTCAGAGCTTGAAAAAAATAGCCAATAGCACTCAAAGTGGTGGCTTCAAACAGCTCACAGTTAAGGAAGCTGTGCTGAATGGCTTGGTGGCCGCTGAGGTATGGATGTGGTTTTACATAGGCGAGATAATGGGCAAGCGTGCATCTATTGGCTATAATGTTTGAAGATCAATCTTTAACATCTATTTCTTTTTTGGTTTATTATTTGAATGTTCTTGGCCATGAATGATCAGAATGGTATTTGAATAAAAGAAAGATATTTCAAAATCAATGTTGTCTGTATCAAACGCTGCAACAGAAAGGTCACAATTTCTCTTGATGTTAGGTTGGGTTGTCTTTTGCTTTAATAACATTAATACAACTCTAAATGCATGTCTTTGCTTAGCCTGAAAATGGAAAACGTATATGTGAATATACCAATCTGCTATTTATATTTAAGAGGAAAACATTTTAATTCAAAGGGTGGAAATACGATATTTTCAGAAAAGTCAGAGAAGGGGCCTTGAGAAAACTAGAACTTGCTGCAGTAGAAATAGTAATACCATGTATTAGAGTTAAATTGTGTTAGTAGTTAAAGAACCAAATTTGGATAGTTTTTCTTTGCTAAAGTCAGAGAAAGATCTCTCTGATGACACTTATGTCTGATGTAAATGTTGGGATATTTGGTGGTATTCTAAGTATGTATCTTTATAACACCTTTAACATCAGGACAGTGAAAAAGCCATGACCTACATTATTTTATCTGGTTTTATGATTTTTAGAACCTATCTTTGACAAAATAAAATACCCCGTGGACATCTAGAAAAAGAATAAGACTGTGTTCTAGAATGAAGCATTTGCCCTAAGACTAGGTGGAAAACTGAAACATATTCACTGTAACAAAGTGTCACCTTGAGAAAATGAAACAACCTCAAGTTCCAGGTAACTGGCAACAAATTAAACTGTTAGAACAAAAAGAAACACTCTCCAGAGAACTAAAATAGAATCCAAGTTTTCTACACTGAATCATGCAAAATTTCAGCATACAATAAAAAAAATTTAAACAAAGAAACTGTAAGATGTGACTAACGGTCATGAAGGGAAAACCCCATTCAACAAGAACAGATTTCAGGATGGTCTAGATGTTGATGTTAGTAAACAACGACTTTAAAACAGATGTTATAAAATGTTCAAAGAATTAAAAGAACTTTCAGCAGAAAATAAAAACCATACAAATTTTATAATATTTTGAAAAGTATAATATTTGAGATAAAAATGTACTACATAAGTTTAACAATACATTAGATATGGCAGGCGACAGGGTAAGCATAATTTAAGATGGATCAGTTCAGATGGATCCAACATAAATAACAGAGATAAAAAGTTGGGGGGGAACCAAAGTCTCAGTGAATGCTGAGATAACATCAAGTGGTCTAACAGTTTGAATGACTGGCATCCTAAGGACAGTGTGAGGAGCAGAAAATATTTGAAAAATATAAGAACATTCACTGATGTCTCATAAGAAATAATGGAGGCCAGTTGATAATGACTGACATCTTAAAGTTTTAATAAAAATGCTGTCAACACTGAATTCTATATCCAGTGAGAATATACTCCAAAATGAGATGAAATGAAGATATTTTCAGATAAATAAAATTTAAAATAATTTTTGTTAGATTTGTAATACAAGAAATGCTAAAGGATGTTCTTCAGGCTAAGGGAGAAAAAAACCAGATCATAACTTGAACCTAAAGTTAGGAATAGAGAACACTAGAAATAGTATATAACTTTATAAACAATATAGTTATATACTTTATAGTATATTTACTATATACTTTAAAGTAAATATACTTACATTTACTTTAAAAACTATTTAAAGCAAAATAATAGCACTGCAGGGTAAGGGTTTAAAAGTATACAGAAATAAAAGATATAATAGTAGGATGAAGGATGAGGTAGGAAACAGATGAGTGAAATGATTCTATTTTAAGGTTATTACATTTGTGAAGAATGGAGTATGAGCTGTGATGTGGGAACTGTAAGGTATGAAATGAGAAGTGCTAGATATGAAGAATTAAGTGAACAGTTGTACAACATAATTTTAATAGGCTTTCATAAGTAGGAAATACATACTCCCAGCCTTAGAAAAACCGCTAATATAATTGAAATAGGCATAGCTAAAAGCCAATAGTGGAAATAAAATGAAACCCAACAACATTCAAATATTTCAAAATAAGGCAGTATTAAAGGATGAAAGGAATGAAGGCCAGAAAAAGGAAAAATAAATAACAGTATGGTAGATAAACTCAACCACACCAATAATTACACTAAATATAAGGGAAGGCCACGGGCAAAGTCAAGATGGCAGGGTTGGTAAACTGAGTTCACCTCCTTCCATAATCAAAATTACAACTAAATTATAGAACAATCACTACTGAGAACCACCCGAAGACTAGCTGAAAGAACTTCTGTAAGTAAGGGTATAAGGAGGAAGCCATATTGAGACTGGTAGAAGGGGCAGAGATGCAGAGCAGGCAAGTCCCACATCTGCAGTGTGGCAGTCAAGAACTGGGAGAGATATCTCCACTGTGGAGTTCCCTCTGAGAAGAAAAGGACCTCAGCCCCATACCAGGTTCCCCAGCCCAGGGCACCCGTACTGGGAAGAGGAATATACCCAACTTCTGACTTTCAAAACCAGTGGAGATTATGTCCCAGAGAGACAAAGGGCTGCAGGGGACTGAGACACACTGCTCCTAATGGGCTAGCATACAAACTCAGAAACTCATTCACTGGGAGCTCTGGCACAGGGGCAGAAGCTTGAAAAGCACCAGAGATATACAGAAAAGAACTAAATTGACTAAATTCATGGTGAAAACCGGAAGGGCAGTGATCAGAAAACTCCAAGGGGACAGAAACAATGGCAGTTGCCATTGTACTTTTGTCGAGCTCTTCTCTCACCCAGCTGGCCAAGCACAAAATCTGTCATTCTCCCTTAACCTGGGTGAACACCATTTGCCCTGCTCTAGTGTTTTCCTGAGACCCTTCCACACTCAACCTGCTCGCATGGCAGGAGCCTCTTCTAGCAGCTCCTGCGCATGAGCATCCAGCCTTGACTTGCAAAGTAGCAAGAGAAAAGCAGTTAGTTACATACAAGGGAGCTGTCATGAGACTATCAGCTAATTTTTAACAGTAATTTTACAGGCCAGAAAGGAATGGAACAAAATAGTCAAGTGATAAAAGAGAAAAACCTACAACAAAGATTACTCAGTGATGTTATCATTCAGAATTGACTGAGAGATAAGAGTTTCCCAAACAAGCAAAGGTAAAGGAGTTCATCACCACTAAACCCAGCATTCAAAAAAATAAAAAATAAACCAGTAGAAAAATAAAAATAAAAATAAAGACATAGGAGAGAAAAAATATCTCACTGAAAAAGGCAAACACTTAGTAAAAGTAGTGGACCACCAAAGACAAAAGTAGGATGATCATGTGTAAATACAATAAATAAGGGATATGCATAAACCCACATACCAAAGATGTTAAAAATAATGACAAAAACATAAACATGGGGATGAGTAAAAAATATAGTGACTTTATAATATGTTCGAACTTATTATAAAGTTCGACCATCAACTTAACACAGACTGCTATAAACACAGCTGGATATACACAAAGTACATGGTAACTACAAACCTAAAACATGTAAGAGATTTACAAGAAATAAAGAGAAATAGGGATGGTGGTGAGGGCTGGTGAGAGGAAGGCAGATAACCTTACTTGAACAACAATTAAAAAAAAAAAGAAATAAAGAGAGATAGAATTCCAGTCAAGATGGTAGTGTAGGTAAATGCAGTACTGGGAAATCTTCCACAACCACATCAAAATTACAACTAAATTACAAACAACCATCATTCAGTACACCTGAAATTTAGCTGAACAGAAGTCCCATACCTATGGATACAAAAAAGAAGCCACATCAGATTGGTAAGGGGAGTGGAGATGCAGAAAGGTTGGTTCCAGACTCACATGTGGAGGTTAAAATTAGGAGGAGTATCCCAGGTGCAGAAGTCCCCTGAAAGGCAAGGGATGACACCCACAGATCTGAACCCCCCCATCCCTGGGTTCCAGTGCTAGGAAGAGAAGTGCCATAACTACTGGATGTAAAAACAAGCAGGAATTGTGGCTGAGTGAGATGAAGGGCATCTAGAGCCCCAGGCACTCCTCTTAAAGGGCCTAAGTGTGGATTTACTCATACTGACTTCCTCTCAGCTCCAGTGCTAAGGCAGCAGTTCAAAAGTCACCAGAGACATATAAGAAGGAAGTGAATTGTCTGGCATTAGGATAAGAACTGGAGGAGCAGCTTTCTTCCAGACAAAAGTGCTGGCAGAGGCCATTGTTCCTTTTCTGAGCCCTTCCCCCAGAGCCGGTAGGCAGACACCATGTCTAAAACTTTATCAGACTGGCTCTCTCCCACTGTTTGCTCCACTGTGTTGATTCCCTGAGACCACACCCACCCACTTGAAGGTCCATCCGTGGTGTTTCCAGTGGCTTTTCCATACAAAGGGCCTCTTTTGGGTCATGCTTCAAACAAGTGGCATCTGGGCTCTTTGTACCCTGTACCTCTTGCTGAGTAACTGCAGTCCTGACACTAGCAGCAACCAACATTGGTTTATAACTTGGCTTCTTCTGGGCACCTCCAAACTCAGCCCAGTAACAGCCATCTTCAGACTGCTCTGTAGCTCATGCTGAGTGGCCTAAGGAAAGGCACAGGTTTGGCTGACCTTGAAACTCTCAGGAGGCCCTAGAACCTGTGCACCTGGTGAACAGCTTTAGAACACACTGGGTTACAACCCTATCACCTCCATGAGTAACACACACAAGGGATAGAATTGATGAGCATCAAAGCCCCAGTGAAGCAAGTCCTTCTCTATAGGATCAACTCGTGCAATAGCAACTCCACTGCTACAATCATTTAGGTCCTCATAGCCAATTAGCCTGGGGGTCAATCCCTCCCAGTGATGCCAACAGCAATCAAGACTCAACTACAACAGGACAGTGCACACAGCACACATAGGGGCACACCTGGAGCACCCAGCTAGAGTGACTGGGGAGGCTGTGCCACTGGGCCCTACAGGACACGTACTACATAATGCCACTCTACCAAGTCCAGGAGATATAGCAGCTCT